TATATATATATGTATATTTATCACTACAAAATGATCCTTCATTTATATCCCCCCTTTTTGTTTACTTTTGTGAGAGATGGGTATTGCTTTGCAGCTTAAATATTGTAGGTGTGTGAATTCAACAAAGTAATCCAATATAGTCCTGTAGTCCATAATAGTAGTGGGCTATCTGCAGGACTCACAATGTTAGAAGTTTTTGACTTCAGCCTTTTACAGCTCAGCATATTAATATGGCTTTACTTTTTATGCTTCATTTTTGTACTTTTCTGCTGGATGGTTAAGACCAAGATATAGCAAGACCTATATACTAAGAAATGTAACTTTTGAATCTCACAAGTTCAGTAAAATACCTGCAGGACTTACCCTGAAACACTGTACAGCAGTTTGTAGATTTTCTGTCAGTGTCAGCCATGTGGATAAGTCATGGTCATTGCTTGACCAATTTGCTCTTTGTGAAAAACTGAGACAATGTTTCCTCTCCCTGTGTGTTACGGCTATCTATGCAATGAATTTCTCTAGTTACCTATCCAATCACTAACAAAATGATGTTCTATTTACATTACTATTATAATTATTATATAATTTATGTTAGGAATACCTAACTTAATATTGATACACTATATTAATATTTCATTCAAGCAATAATATGGATAACTATTTCTTTACAACTGCTAAGAAAAGTCCTTGTGGCTTCTGTAAATATTGGACAGTGAAGATTTCTCCTGAGCTAATGACATAATAATTTTTTTTTTTATTGTTCAAACTGTCATTTCTGTTTCTTTGTTGAATGCATGCAAGGTACAGAAATAAGTTTGTTCTTGGGCATATCTTTTATGTTTTCACATAAGAATAAATTTACATATGAAAGGAAATTAAATATTCTCAATCAGACTGATGACATAGGTGTGGAAAGTGCCAGAAGATACACGCAGGTGAAAGAAATTCTGAGTGGAAGAACAATGACTACAATTTAAGACTCCAAACTTTTCTCACACTTAAACATACTTAATTCACCACTCTATCAAATGTTTTAAAATAACCTAGAAAAATCCGGGTTCACAAAATAAACTAAGGGACAGGATAGGATTCATTTTCTTAACTATTGGGAATTGAAATCTATCATCCCTTGTTCATGTAGAACACCAAATTCACTTTTGAAGAAGTGTGGATATAATAGCAATCACTTTGGTCATATTTAATAAGAATACATTACCTTTGTTTGCCCTCATATGGTATGACGAGCCATCCAGGCTAAGATAAGGAATTTAAAGAAAAATATAAGTCAATAAACGGAGGCCAAAATATAAAATAAAAACTACTAGGTGGTCATTGCTATATATCAGCTATATCACGTAAAACAGGAACACTAGACATCGCTGGTCATCTCTTACAAGTAAAATAACTTAAGGATAGGGAGTAAACTAAAACAGGCAGTGTTAAGCAGATTGTGTACTTTTAGTGGGGATTAAGCAAATAAATGTCTGTAGAATGCATGACATGCTCAGTAGGTGTTAGTTAATAATGCCATTGTCATTCTAACAGTATGAATTAGTCTCAGAGTTTTCCTCTATCTGTAAGGTAGACTAAATAATGCCAACCACATAGTATGAAGGGAATATTGTGGGACAGTGAGTTGATACCATGATGTGCATCATACGGTGAAAGTTTTTATTATAGCATTTAATATTAAAAGTATATTTGATTTAATAGAAGGTATTACAATTATTTTACAATAGCTCTCTTATACTTTCATTGCATTCCCCTCACTATGGCTCTAACACTATTTACATGAACCATTACACAGTTGGAAAATAGAGGTGCCTGCCCTTAGCTTCTTGCTGTCACTATGCCTTACTCTGACAGATACATGAGAAAGGAAGATATTTCTGAGAGTACTATTCAAGATTTTCTGTTCTTCAAATTCTTTATCAACTGATTTTCTCAGCTATCTTTCCTCAGACCTAATTTCTTAGTAATAAAGGATAATAGTGTCCTTTGCATCAATACCTATGTTGTCCTTCCTTATTTGCTATAACAGTCATAGCTGTCATTATATTTAAGACATTATTTCAGCCTGGGCTCTTAATCATGTCCATTAAGCACAATGAATTGGCCTTCTGTGTTGTGTTGCTCATTAATATATTTACTCAGAGAAAATTTGAGTAATGCACAAGAATTTGTACTTCTTTATTTTAACTCAGAAACAAGAACCAAATCAAAAACCAAAACAGAAAAATCATACAATTACTGAAAGAAACATTTATTATTTCCAAGGATGAAGATTTAAGGAATTCAAGGATGTGTTAAGATTTTGCATGTAATATAGTGAATTTCACTATTGAGAACATGGCAATTAGAAACAATGTGACTGAATTTGTTCTACTGGGGCTCACAGAAAACCCAAGGATGCAGAAAATCATATTCACTGCATTTTTGTTCATCTACCTTGTCTCCATGGTAGGTAATTTGCTCATCCTTCTCATCATCATCGTCAGCCCATTACGGAAGTCCCCCATGTACTTTTTCTTGGCTCATCTCTCCTTTATTGATGCCTGCTACTCCTCAGTCAATAATCCAAAACTGATTGCAGATTCACTGCATGAAAAGAAGATCAGCCTGTTCAGTGCATGTATGACTCAAGTCTTTGCAGAACATTTCATAGGTGGTGCTGAGGTCATCCTGTTGACTGTGATGGCCTATGACCGCTATGTGGCCATCTGCAAGCCCTTGCATTATGCAACCATCATGAACTGGAGATTGTGCAGCCTGCTCGTGGGGGTGTCCTGGGTGGGTGGTTTTCTTCATGGAGCCATACAGATCCTCTTCATCCTGCCACTCCCATTCTGTGGCCCGAATTTCATAGATCACTTCATGTGTGACCTCAACCCTCTGCTCCAGCTGGCCTGCACCGACACGCACACTCTGGGATTCTTTGTTGCTGCAAACAGTGGCTTCATCTGTCTGTTAAATTTCCTGCTTCTTTTGGTCTCCTATGTGTCCATTCTCTTCTCCTTAAAGACCCACAGTGGGGAGGGCAGGCAGAAAGCCCTCTCCACCTGTGTCTCCCACATTACGGTGGTTGTTTTGTTCTTTGTGCCTTGCATGTTTGTGTACATGAGACCCCCAACAACTCTACCCATTGATAAAGCAATTGCTGTTTTCTACACCATGATAACTCCCATGCTAAACCCTTTGATCTATTCTTTGAGAAATGCTCAGATAAAAAATGCTATTAGAAGTTCTTTTGGTAAGAAAATTCTACCAGGTGCCAAATAAATGCATTTTGAACCCAACATTGATTTTTAAAGATGGGAGGTTAAAAAGGAAAACTTTTTAATTTTATTCCTGAAAGCAATACTTACAGGCCATATAGAAACATAGCATCTTTCATAGATTTTGTATTGATTTGCAGAGAAACTTAGATGATGTAACACAGAAGCACTCTTTGTATATTTGGAAAATTCTACCTAATAACAAATTAGTTTTTCTATGCTCATCTATATCAGTAGATTCATAGACTTTCCTTTTCATAAAAAAAATGCTGTAATTTTTCTTAGTTCATTGAAAATAAATCTTTGAGCTAATATAACTTGGAGACTCTTACAAGCCCATATGTTTTTATTTTATTTTAAAGAGAAAGAATTTTATTAGCAATACAACAATTTCAAAATAGGTTCATTGGAGAGTTACAATAATAATGTGTAAATATTTTGTATACTGATTACCTATTTTAAAGGTAAAACGTTCAGTATATTTACTATTGCTATTCTCTGTTATTTTTATAAAAGTATGTTTTACTTTACACATAAAATAAAAAATAAAATATGTTAATGTTAAACAGTAATGTGTATGAGAACTCAAAAGGAAGAACTGCTGTTATGATCATCTTATTCTATAACAGCACTGACAGTAGGCTTGTTCTCAAAATACACATTGTTCTGAGTCGGGATCCATGGTATGACTGATTTTTCAGACCACAGTCTCTGCTCCCATGATTACTAGGTCAGGTGATGAAGGAATGAGTAATCCAGTATGGTCCTTACCATCTTTTAGAGAAGAATTTTGTTTGGCATATTGTACATGGTTCATCTGTCCAAAAGTTGTAAACATGATTACTATCATCCTTGTGAGTTTACATGTGACATTGATGGCCATCTCTTTCCAGAAACTGTGTATTGTCTGCAATGCTTAAGCTTAATTATGGTCATGATTGGCTTGAAATCAACCTAGGGCATTAGAGGGAACACTTTGGGGTGTGTTCTGATGGGCCACTGTGGCCTGAGCTTGAGGAACAGACCTGGCTGCTTTAGTTCTGCTGGTGCCCTCTGCCTACCTCCCAGGGCTGTGCATTGAGCCTTGATCTTCCAGATCATCTTTAGCTATTAGATCTTTGCATGCAGCTAAGTGTGAATGAGCAGTCTTTTGAAACCATGAAAAAAATTAGCCTTTTCCTCTATGCTGAGCCTATGACATAGTTTGAATAAACAGTAACAGAAGAGTTTTTATTTCTTTAATTATACTCCAGTGTGTATTTTGGATGTCTTTGGAGTTGGTTTCAAGGCAGTATTGGGAAAGCTTTGGAAATGAAAGCCAGAGACACTGTAGCATGCCTTAGCAGAGAGCTAACAAGTAATGCTCCTCACTGCTGAGACCAGAATGTGATTGGCAATGTGGACAGTGAATGTTATTATCAGCAGGCTTTACCTAGGAAAAAAGGCTGTGCTGACAGCGACACTGTAGTAAAAAATAGGAATAAAATATTACTTCTCATGTATGAAGAAGCCTTTAAGGTTGAGATCAAGGTTAATAGACTGATCTTGTGAAGAAAGGTACTAGAAATTAAGACAGTGGCGTGGATGCTGCTAACTCCTTTTAGAGTTACACATAGTGAGAAATTGGTATAAAAAAACAAAACAAAAACGTTCAACAAAGAAAAAACCTGAAGCTTTCACCCTAAAGTTAAATGTGCATTAAGTTTTTCCCAAGATAAGTGAAATTGTTGAAGATTAGTACCATTGAAAAAAATAAAATCTTTGCACAGGAACACAAAACAAAGCCTTGAGAGCAGCTCAAAAAATATCAGCACCCCTGTGTTATTAGCTGAAGGAAAATAAAGTCAGTGTTCCATTGGAGAAGAGAGGTCCTCAGCTCCTCTTGAGAAGGCTCCCAGGACTGGGTACCTGGGATTCACTTCATGTTGCTCAGATGGCCCTGCTGCCCATTGTCTCATACACTGTCTCAACCAGATCCCCTCATGTTTTTCTTTCACCTGTCACTTTTATGATAACATCCCACTCAAACTCCATGGAGATGATGCTTGCTTACATGTAGTGACAGAAACTGTTCCCCAGATAGTTACATTCTGTAGAGGAAGTTGAGTAATTAAAAGCATTGGTGAGCTCAGATTGCAGTACTGATCCTGTTGGAGGTGGAATCTCTCAATGGGTTAGTTTTATCCTAGTGAAAGAAGCTCTAGTTTAGTCTTCCCTACAGTTGTTAAGATGCTGTGCCTCCTTCAGTTTTTCTCCACAACTGTTAAGATGTTATAAACATAAAAGACATACAGAGGAAAACAGAGATAATTACAAAGAAGAATCCTCTCAAAAAGGAAACAAATCAATTATTCCTTGATTTGTTGAGTCAACAACTACAGCATTCCATTGGGGTTGCCATGAAAACCAAGAAGGTATTTAAACAGAGACTAAACAAAGAAACAGGACAGATGTGTTTCTGATCTGTAAGGATCTGTAAGGACCAGGAAGCTCAACTGGATGCTAGCTTTATTAGTATATTCTGTTTATTCAAATTTTTGGTCTGTGATGGAAATAACCTCACTGTTTCAATCCCTGGATGACTGAGGGAAATGATACAATTGAACACAGAGAAATATGAATCTTTGTGAGTGATAGAGACATCTCCAACTCCAGTCAAAGTGCTTTGTTTTAATCAAATTAGAAAACAAATCTTTAAAATTGGACTCTGATCCAAGGTGATTACTTCTGTAAGGGACCAACAAGAGCCCCACTAAAGTGGCAACTTTGGAAAAAAATTAGACACGTGTTTAGTCACTTGAACCAGAGGATGCTTCCATTTTTTGCTTGTTTGTTTGTAATTCTGCATCAGGTGAGAAACATGATACTGGCCATCTTTTCAAGAGTTCTGGAAGAAATTAAGCTCATGAACCGAGTGAGGAACCACTGTACTGTCTCTCCTCAGAAGCATTTAGTAACACTTCAGAGCTACACAAGACAATGCTGCAAATACATCTCTTTTCTTCTTTATCTGTAATTAAACTTGGTTTGAAATGTTATCCATGAATCAGTGCACTATCCTCCAAAGAACAAGACTTTTATAATTTGCATAGACAGAAATCCAGGTATCCACTTATTAAGCAGTGATGTTCATTAAGAGTGTGGGATAGTGAGAGAAAAAGCATAACATGAGAACAAGTCAAATTAATTAATTAATGCATTCATTCTGCAAAGTTTCTTAAATTTTGTACCTCAGTGAGTGATACAAGGTTCTGTTTGGACAGCTGACAACCGCAGAAGCAAAAAGAGAGTCTGCAACAAGTCGGCTATAAATGATGAGTCACCCAGGACCAAATATTAAGAAAAGGATTAAAAGTTTTAAGAATATTGTAATATTACCATGATTGATGGTGTAAGATCAGCTCACCCACCATGAGAGTGTCTGTCTTAAGTGTTATTTTGTTAGGGACCTGAGGTAGCAATCAAATGTCTTGATACATGCCAGAATCAAGAGGAATTTCTTGATGTTGTCTCATTAGATTAGGATTCCAGATTTAATTTCTCATGTAATAGATGTAAACTTTGAGGGGAGGTATGGGAATGGAGGAAAAATGAAGAATTAAGATATATTATGTACAAACTCCCTATAACATATTTGATCATCATGTATATGAAAAGCACACCAATTAAATAGTTTTTAAATAAAGGAGCCTCATGATCTGTTTGGTATGTCTTTGAGACCACAGGATGCTGCCATAAAGGTTATACTGTAACTTGTTCTACTTTCTTTCCTGTACTTATGGTCTCCTATCAGGGTAACAACATATTGACAAAAAATCACGTTTTGTGGCACTACTGGATACTGGTTATGAGTTGATTGACATACCATTAAATTTCCTGGGAGGAAAAGACTGGAGCCTGGACATTGGATAATTTTGTATGTTATGTAGGCACCTCTTAAAAGTGAATTATGGCATAATTCAAGGTTCTTTATTGGAAAATGACTAAATGATATCAGTATAATACCACAGAAAGCTGGTGAGAGACCACAGTTCCTAGGTGTTGTATGATAAGGAAAGGTACATTAAAGAAGTATAACCTAGGTTACATTATAACCTTTATGGTAGCATCCTATGGCATTTCCCCAAGATGGGACATTTACTTTATTCAAGGGGTTCTGAGTTTGAACAGAGGTTTATGTCAGGTGATCATGTCAGTGGGCTGAGTCACTGTTGTAATGACTCAAGGTTCACTGTCATGCATCTGTTCCGAATAATTTCTGCCAAAAAATAAATCTTGTAAACATGTAGTAAATTCTATATTTTAGGAGGTAAAGAGATTTTCACATCATCCCCAAGTTGCATGTTTGAGGAAAGCAGAAAGAAATAAGTCCACTCTTAACACTTGAAAGCCACTATCAGGCCTCTCAGTGACAATAAGTACAGGCACAAACAATAATGTCTGCTCTAAAACTATAGTCAAGACAGACCAATGGAAGTGTGTCAGGCATGCAGGCTCAAATAGTTAACACAACCCTTTCCACTTTGGAAGCAAATGTAAAATACCATGTGTTGGGAAGCAAGTATAAGAGTTACCATAGGAATTTGCATTGCATTAGCGTTCTTATTGGCATCCTCAGAAGGAAGACAGGGATGCATATTCTCAGGCGAAAGATCATAGAGAAGGCCTCTAGACTTGCCCAAGCACAGGCAAAGACCTTGCTACCAGTGGCCTACATCATTATCACCCTTGACATGGGAAAGGAAATTGTCCAAACTGAAGATTGCACAAGTGCCTGCATCTGGGAAAGTCAGGTGAGGCCCACTTTACTATCCAAGAGTCATTGGGACCACAACTTTCCTAACCTCAGGCAAGGCAGAGATCTCTAGACCAGTACTTTTAAGTACAGTTCTTTGAATCCATGCTGTAAAACCCCACATGTCCCTGTCCACTCTGTGATGAACATTTTTGGACTGCATTGCTGTGGACTAAAGCCCTGGTGTGGTTGCACTCCATGACATAGCA